AAAAGAAACTTAATACTTTTGGAGGCAGTAGGAACTGACATATTTAAAGGCTTTTGAAACAAGGAGTCAGCTTGAGGAGAAGTTGGTGGGATGGTGCCATAAGTACCACCAGCATCCCAACCTCTGCCAAGGCTGGTCAGAGCAGCCACCTTGCTGGACATCACAAGGAGCTGGCATCCAGTTTAGTGAGGTGATTGATAATTCTGTGGGCGTACCAAGAAAATCATAACAAGGTGAGACCTCAGATATAAAAGAATGAAGAGCTACCCATATATTAAAGTATTTTTTAAACACTCATATGCTAGACTTTGATTAAGAGAAAAAAAATGCATAGATACTTAAAATGACACAGAGAATTCAGGAAGATAGTAACATGTTGCATGGAAAATTGAATACAATTTTTGAAGAAAGAAAGGCCAATTACATTAAACATCTGAGTAACATCACCATAGTGCCTAAGTGGATAAACAGGCTTAGCAAGAGATGGTATGATTTAGCATAGATCTGATATGGGAGAGGCCTTCACATTTGTTGTGATATTTTTTGAGAAAGACAGTACTGAAATAGTTCATTGTCACAATTGTCAATGCTGCACTTGTTTTCTGAAGTATGACCAGAGTATGTACGTGATACACTATGTAAATATCTGCATATATTACATAAGGTAAATTTGTTATGATGTGGATTATTCAGGAAAGATAATCCTAATTACTTTCCTTTGAAAATTCATCATTTTCTGATTCCCAAATTTTGGAATTTAGCATGGGTTTTGCAGTGAAAGGTGCTGTATGTTACAGATTAATTGCCTTGGTCCTGTGTGAGCCAGCAGGCTCTTGTCTCTGCATAGAGCCCCACTATGTTGTTCAAGCTCTGTGTGTAGGCTTTAAACTACTCAGCTGTCTTTGAAGTAGACATTCTTTTTCATCTGTTTTACATGTGGGAAACTGTTATGTAGGCTGATAATCTGTCTTTGCTCTCTGAAAATTCAGTAAATTATGTCAGAGACTTGAGAAGCATTCCACGTTATACTTTTTTTAGCTTTAGAGTATGTTTCATCTAAGGTAGTCTATTATCATCAAATACAAATTGCATCAGAGACAAAGCTTAGAAAAATAATTGTCAATCCCCACGGTAGCTGTGAATTTCTTATTGACATTGTCTTTATAGCTCTCTTGCATTATTTCTGTTGTTCCTTTGAATGTTTACTTGTTTGATAGACCAGTCATTCACCTTCATCCTCCTACTCTTTCATGAAGTACAGTACCACTGCACTGAAAGGTGGTGCAGACTTCTGCACCCTGTGGTGTTAAGAAAAAGATACTTTATTCCCTTCCTATGTTGGATTATTTTCTGATTTTTGCACTTTGCTGTATTTTATGCCACAAGGAACAATGCTCGTGATGTGGGTGTCTCTTTGCTTTGATGTTTAGCTGTCCTTAAAGATGTTTACTGCTTCATGTGCTCCGTTGTCATGAACACTCTCTCTTAAATAACTTGGCATCATGACAAGTTATTTAAAACCACAAGTAGATATTAGCTGGTTGTTTCTTTAAAGTTTTTAGGTTTTTTTTTTTGTTTTTTTTTTTTGCTATATTCAGAGACCACTTTTTCCATAGTAGAAGGAAAAATGGTAAAACTTATATAGCACCCACTATTTTTATTTTTTTATTGTAATCCTTGGGTGATACACCATGAGCTAGCTGGAAATTGGATCTTTATTGGCTCCGCCACCTAAGAGAAAAAAGAAGATAGGTAAAAACAAAAATAGTAATTGGAAATAGCTCCTGTGGAGCAAAACTGTCATGAAGCAGATTGATTCAGCAGTGGCAAAGTTGCTTTATTGATTTTAAGTCCTTAGTAAATTAAAAAGAGGAGCAAATGTGTTAATCTTCTGTTTGCGTGTGTGTTTGACAGTGACAATTGAGAATGCTCTGCCAGGATAAAGACACATAGAGGAATGTGGGAATGTTATCTACTTCAGTCAGTAGCGGGCTTGCCAGAGATAAGAATAGGGTTCTTCAGAAATCCTTCTCAGTTGAATCTTCTTACTGTGCTGTAAACAAAGGATAGAAGAAGTATTCCTGCTTGGTTTTTTAAGCATTCAGGTGCAATTAGTCTAGGTAAAGGAATGAAGCGTAGGAATTATAATAGTGTTCTTCACGTGTTCCTTAAATTTTATTTTCTGTCTCAATTGCAATGTCAAATTTGTTGTAAATAGATCAGTGCAAAACCTTAATATAGTGTAGCTTAAGACCTCAGTCTGCTTCATAAGCAACAGTCATTTTTGGATTTGGATTTTTGACTCTTTTAATTACTGCTTATTACCTTATGTCATTGTCCATTTGCAAGTAAATTAATCCTTTATTTATATTTTCCTTCCCAAATCATCACAGCTTCTCATAAGGATGAAATTCAGTTGGATGGGGAACAGCTATACACAAAATGACATTATAGTACAGAAGCTTTCCCTTCCCAGCAAAGCAACAACAGAGCTGGGATTCTGTTCTGGTGAGGACTAGATGTTACAAAGAGAAATTCTTGCTTTTTAGCCTCAAATTGTGCACCATCAGAAATTTTGTTTCATGTATTTCTTGTTGGGTTAGTGTAATTCAGCCAGGAGAACATGCTATTCTTCTCTTCATTTTCCTGCCACTGCTGCCTGAAAATCCAGCTGCCGGGGATAGTTTTGTGGCCTCTCATTCCCGACATGTCTCCTGTCTATAGAGCACTCTGAACCTCTGTTGTTTTGGATACACAGTTGTTTACAAGACAGGGTTTGAGGAGCATCTCCTGTGAAGAGACTCTGGGGCCACACAGATGGTGGGGGAAGAGGAATTGGAGGTGAATGAGGTAAAACAGGAGAGAAAGCAGGGAGCTGGAGACACTGTTGTTTCACACTACTTCGTATGGAGTCACCAGCCTGGTGACTGAGGTGTAAGGGAAAAAGTCCTCTTGGACCCTGGAGGGAGATGGGAACTGGAAATGCAGGGGACCCATTAAAGATCTCCTCCTTGATTCATGGATAAAATACACTTTTGTAATATCATCTGCAAGAATAGAGCTTTTTAGTTACTACTGACTCAGATAGAGGACCATTGGGGTAACGGGATTCCTTCCAGGAAGGAATCAACACATTCTTGTGTTCAATTTATTATGCCATACTGCTGAAGAACCTGGACTCTCTTGTCCCTTCACTCCTGTCCCCAGCAACAGTGAGCCAGTGAGGCATAAGACAGACTGAGGCATCATCTCACCCATTTCATCCTACCACTTAATTCCTCATTTCTTTTTTTTTCATGCTTTTTCTTTCTTTACTTGCTGGTCCTGATTAATTGTCTTCTGATTCATTTGCCTTGCCAGATAGCTGCATCTTTTTGCAGAGACTTGCTGCTATTGTGCTTTAAAGGACAGCATCCCTGTCAGATTTGTAAAGTCCACTGTATTTTCACCTTTCTCACCCCAGGCTTCTTTGAGGTTTCCTAGAAGAAATTGCAAAGTCCAAAGGAGGGAGTACAGTAGCAAGTGGCTGCCATTCATATATTTGTGCAGCTATTGAAACATTTCATGATCATTAATCAGAGCTTATAGTTATGCTTTATTACTCTTCCCTGATATCCCTCTACCCTTTCAACCCCACTGTTTGTCACCCTTGTCACTTTTTGCCTTAAATTTAGATAGCCCAACTGGAAAATGTCATTCTGAGTGGTAGTACAGCATAAATATTTTTTTTCCTAAAAATGTAAATGCCACTGTGCTTCGCTTCAGTGTGCACAACATTAAATAGTAATTGTTGTTAGTGGCAATTTGTAGTGTTTAAGAGTCTTGCTTATTCAGTCTGTCATGCTGGGTTTTTGTGCTGAATGACTGATTGTTGCACCACTGTTTTTCCTTTGTTAAACGCATCTGTACGCAGAAGGAGAACTGCCTAATTTGTTTCAATCTGGCATACTGGAGCAAGTCTGCTTTTAAATTGCATACTTAGTAGGTTACAAATCAGATGCAGTATTTTCATGGTGCTAATTCTCCAGTGTACAAGGAACTGCTGACTCGAATAGGTTTTGACCACTTTTCTTTTTCAGTAAGTCTTCTGTAACTCATTTGGCTTGCTTAAATGACCTACTCCTTATTTTCCACAGCAAGAGTTTCTCTCATTTGGGAAATGTAAAAGGATAACATTCCTAGCCCAAGCAGAAGCAAAATGTACCACTGCCATCTGGGCTGTGAAATTGGAATAAAGCTGAAAGTGTTACCTCAGTATCTTGCTGTGGCTGGTAGCCAGATAGCAGATAATAAAAAGATGGTCTGCTAGTTGGCATGTTAGGCTGGATCTTAGGATGTGCTTGTTGTGCTTCAAATCTCCAAGAATGTGGGCAGGTGGGAAATTATTTCTCTCATCTAACGCCGCTTATCTGCACATTATGTATCTACTGAGCTGATTGTCTCAGCTCATCCACTGTGAACAGATAGGCAGTTCCAGAGGGCACAGGGTCATTCCACATCACTTAGCTCTACATTTTACACTAGGATTAATAACCCTGTGGAGAAACTTGTCTCTCTGCATATATATCACAAAAAAAAACAGTAGCTGATGGCATTAGTCCAGGTACATAACTTTTAGATGCTTGAAATACAGCAAATGAGCCCTCTCTTCCTCTCATGCAGCTGCCTTTAGTTGTGGGATAGCAGTCCTTTCCTGCCTTACAGGTACACACAGAGATTGAACAGTGCTACTGTTCTTACAAAGTTTTTATTGTGAAAAGAAATTTATATGTAATTTTAATTATCTCTATATACATATATTTGTGACTGCCTGAGATTTGAACATTGTGCTGAAAAGGAGGGAACTTTAGGACAGGGCACCTGGAGACTTTTGCATATTTCATAGCAATATTCAGTTGAATGCATTAGCAAAACAAAGCTAGGACTTGAGAATACCTGGCTTATATATGAAGCTCTGTAAGTCGTGCTCCTTCATGGTGACTGGTTTTGTTTCTTTTTAGATTGTGATGGATTTCAAACACCCTGATGGCCACACAGTGGCAATTATGTTGCCCCGATGCAGCTTATTGGTGATGACTGGAGAATCCAGATACCTGTGGACACATGGGTATGTGTAAGAGGAATAATAAATGTTGTTTATTTGCTTTTTTAATGACATTTCGTGTTTAAAATTGCCTGAAAGAAATCAAGTTTTATAATTAATATACAAACTCACTCCTCTGCTCAGATGCTGCTTAGGTTACATTGAAAAACTTGGGGATTTAGGGAGCTAATTGCCAGTCCCTGAGGTGTAGTTTCCTGCTGCTGTCATAAGTGAAGTTTCAATCAGAAATTGCTCTTGTATCTGCAGTGTGAAAGTTCTCAATGACTGAGCTGGCAAAGGATTGTAGTGCAATTAGTGTCACCATTCCCTTTCTCTTTATTCAGCCCACGACTTTTCCCATTGGATCACATATGCCAAAGGCTTGAGAAAGGGGCTTAAGAGTTTAAAAAATTGACTTCCCCTGCACTGAGAGCCTGAGGGTGGCAGAAGGGAGTCTTCCTGAGCTGTTCCCAACTGCTTTAGGGACACTTACAGCTGCTGGTAAGACTGCATTGAGCAGTTTTGGGATGCTTCTAAGAGAATTCTTGAAATATGTCTTGGGGCCGTGCTTATTGTAGAATTTAAATACATGCTTTTTAAATCATGCTCCACTGGGAGGTACTTACAATTGGAGTGCTGAAATTGGCAAAAAGGCTGAAACCTTGCTGAGTTCTGAGTGCAACAGTAATGCATTTCAGGAGTGTATGGCAGCCCTGTATTGGACAGAAATGCCCATAGTAAGCATTTCTTCCTTTGTTTGACCCAAGCCATCACTGGTTCAGCTGTCAACTGGAGACACTTAATTACATTCCGTATGAATTAAACACCAAATCCTTTTATTGGCAGAAAATTTTCTGCCTTTTAATTTTTCTGGTTAATATGTATTATGGAAACAGGGTGAATGTTAACTCACTGATAACCTTTACGTTGTTAATTTTAGAGAGCTCTTATACCACCTGTATATTCCCTTGTTAAATTAAATAGTTGTAAACAGCACTTGGTACTTCTGATGTGTATCAGTATAGAAGCCCAGGGCAGTGAATTTCCTTGTTTGATATACAGGACTGAATATAGATATCAGCATTGTAAGCTTCTTATGCTGTCCTGTCTAATACCAGCTGTCTTTTGGAAAGGTCACGTACAGCTCTGAGAACACCGTGCAGTTTCCATGTCAGTGACATTGCTGGCCAGGGAAGCTGGTGGGCAGTTCCCAGCCCCAGGCATCAGGCAGCTCCATGGGCTGTGCTGAGGCCAGTTTGGAGCAGCAACCCAGTGTCAAGGTGGTGGCTGTGCACAGATAGAGCTGGGGATGCATCTGAGGCTATAACTGGAACAAGGGCCAGTGGGACAGACTCCATTTAAACATAGCTCCCAGAGGAAGGAGGGCTTGTCCTTTCTGAGGCCTCAGCTTTCTCCAGGGCTACCAGCTCTGCTCTTTCCAAGCCAGCGCTGGGCAGCCACACTCCCAGGAGGCAGAGGGATGCATACTGGGCACTTACAGTACTGGCCAGCAGCCATTGAAGTTGGAATAGTGTATCTGTCTATTAAAAAGAGGGAATGAGATTATTGCTTAACTGGCTTGTTACCTTCAAGAGATTATTATCTTTTGAGAACCAATTAATAAACTACATTGAAAATGAAGATCCCAGACCTTTGTACTCATGTACAAATGGTTCCAATGCTGGTTCTTGTCCATGTTTCCTAAATATATTTCTTCTCTATGTTTTTCTAATCATGTGGCAGGTCAAGATACTAAACTGGAGTAAGCTTTGCATCATACTGCTGGAATGTCGTATTGTAATCAAAATTCAAATCATCCAGCGAGAAGTTGTAACTAATTCACTTGCATACATAATGTCAAAATAAATTTAATAATATTTGTGATGCCTTTTATCCATACTGCAGAAGTCAAGAGTCAGTTTTTAAATTAATCTGGACATGTTTTCAGCTGTGTGCTTGGATGCCAAGGAATTAGAGACTTTGTTTTGACCCCACTAACAAAGTGTACAGGAAAAGCATTTTTGTTCAGTTCTCTGTAAAAGGGAAACAGATGGTTTAGAAATAAACTTATGTAGTGTCATCAAGGAGGACAAAAGCTGTATTCTCTTTTTGACTCATAGGTGAAAGTAAAATTCTGACTTTTCTGATGAAGTTCATTAGTGATGTTTTTCATATTTGGTTGGATAACTTGGCAAAACTGTATTCTTGGCACTGCAATTATAAAACCAATCTGTGTCAAGGAAGAAGGGTTGCAGCATTTTATTTTTGACATTGGGAAGTCTTCATAATAGTAATGAAAGGAAATGAGAGAGAGGAACAAAACCCAGGAGAGACAAGTGATGCACAATACAGTTGTTCACCACGCAGTGACTGATGTCCAGCCCATCGCCCAGTTCATGCACTGAGCAGGATGCTCTGTGGTACAGAATATCCCTCTGGCCAGTTCAGGTCAGCTGGCCTGGCCATGCTCTCTCCCAGCTTATCATGCCCCTCCTCATCACTGGCAGAGCATGGGAAACTGAAAAGTCCTCACTTAGACTAAGCATTTACTGAGAGACAACTGCAACATCAGTGTGTCATCAACATTATTCTCATTCTAAACCCCAAACACAGCACTGCTGCTGTTAGCACAGATGCTTAGAAGAAAATTAACTCTATCCCAGCCAAAACCAGGACAAAAATAAATATATTAAAAAGATATATAAAAAAGTACTAGACAAATAAACAATCAAACTTCATGGAAGAAAATGGAGGGAGGATAGGGAAATGTAATTACATGCAATTAAACAACACTTTAATTCATGTCATTAGTTTATGTGTCATCTCTTTTCTCTCTGAAATTGAATAAGTTGAAAACTGAGAGGCAGAAGTATGTTAAATAGGATGTTGTAATCACATTTCTCTCAGAGTGTGGGTATTGCCCTCATACAAAGATGGATTGGGTTTTTTCTGATGCAAATTGAATTATTCCTTCATTTTGTGTTGCTTTATTTTAGGATCACACCCAGAAAATACGATGTTGTTCAAGCATCAGAACTTGGGCAAAAAGTTAGAACAATCACTGCTGACGTTGGAGATTTAACATTAAATCGAAGGGAAACAAGGACATCATTTACATTCAGGAAAGTGAGGAGAAGCCCTTGCAATTGCAGTAAGTGTCTTGAGGCAATCTTCAAGTCAAAATTACTATTTATCACCAATAGGTAGCTTTTTTGGTTTTGAGAAAATAATTTGATTCCCTTGGGTAGTTTTGGCAGTCATCATAGCTATTCCTGGATGGTTCATAGCATACTATATGGCTTGAATTGGCTGCATTCATGTGGTTGCTGGAGTTTCTCTTTACAGGAAGGCATTTGACTTGCTCCAGAGCCAGACAAGTAATCTGGAGTCTTGTGTTTCATTGGCATTTCAAGTGCTTTATAATGTAACAAAATAGAAATAATTACTATTCTTCAAGTTATTTCCTCAGTTTTGATCTTTTTTTTTTTTTGAGGGGGCCTCTAATTTTGAGAAAATAGGTACGTTAGGGAAGGAGAAGTAGTCATATCGGCTGTGACAGAGCCATGTAAAGTGCCTTAGGGCAGTAGAAATTAATAATAGGTGGCTCAAGGATTACATGGAACTGAAGTCCATTTATGCCCTTAAAATAGAATTTCAGAGGCTGAATTGTAATGATGTTGTGGTCTTTGGTACTGGGGGCACTATCTCAGTTTTGAGAACATAAAATTCATTAACATAGCAGATTAATGATAACTGCAAACAGCCTCTGGAACATGAAGACTGGTTACTTATTTTCCGGTCATCAAACACTTCTGTAGTTTGACCTGTGTTTCAGTTTTTAAAAGATAAAGGAGGACTGAAGCATTTTTTGCATTTTAATGTTTCACTTTTAATTTAATTTTACTAAATATGATTAATCAATGAGGAATTTCTTAAAAATTAATATTTTGTATCTGTTGCTGTATCTAGTCTACCCATCTGTCTGTGACAGCCAGAAAGGACAGCAGAGACTGGTGCAACCTTCATTTCCCCAGAATGAGATGGAGGCCTCAAAACTGGAGCAAGAATATGTACACAAGGTGTATGAAGAGATTGCCACACACTTCAGCAGTACTAGGCATAGCCCTTGGCCCCAAATTGTAGAGTTTCTCAGGTCCCTGCCGACAGGGTCAATAGTGGCTGATATTGGTTGTGGTAACGGGAAGTATCTCGGCATTAATGAGGATTTGTACATGGTAAGTAGCGACTGTTACGTGTTTTTATGGGTTCTGGTGTTTATTCTGTCAGGCACTGGTAGAATGCTGGAGGTTCAGGTTGGCATTGGAAGAATGCTGAGAACAGAAATCTATTTCCCAATCCAAGATCGAGTACTGATTGTCTTAAGTTTCCACCTGTATTCATGACGTGCTTTACCTTTTTCTCTTTTTCCAAACCACTTCAGTTTTGTAATTCAAAATTCATTAAGAAAAATAGTAATGGATGCAGTGGATTGAAAAATTGTAATTGATGGTTTAGGTTTTCTTGTCATTGTTGTTGAATAAATGTATTAAATGGTTGGGCAATTTGAATGCTTCCAATGAAATTTCATTTTTTTGGTGAGTGAAATCTCGGTGGGCAATGCTATTTTTTGTGACTTCTTCAGTTCCCTGTGGCCTGGCGACATGTCTCATTTGTGAATGATAGCCATGTTCAACTGTTCTACCTCTGGCTCTTTGCACTGGCCCAGTAAATATGCCAACATAAAATTCACAGGGAAATCGCAACTTTGGTAGAGATTTCTGGCCTTTCACTGCTTTTTCTTCACTTTTAGACAGTTCTGACATAATTCTTGCTCATTTTCAATCTTTCGCTGTCTCACAGTCTGTACTTTGTCCAGTTTTATGTCTCCTCCTTCCTATCAGGGAGAGATGAAGTATGTACACATATGAACCAAAAGATAGCTTTCATTGCAAATATTTAAAAGACCTTTTCTGAGGGAATAAAAAAAGAGTCAAACTTGCCATTGTTTTAACCCAAGAGAAATCTCAGAAGTGCATGTTGTGGTATCTGCTCTCTCTTGTTCCAAGATTGTGATTCTTTCACATGTTTGTCCTGTGTAACACTCTGAAATCCATCAGACTTGAAAACTTCTGTGTAGGGCAAGGCATTCATTATTGATAATAGAACTTGGAGTTGTCTTTTTCAGGAGTTTCTGTCCTGTTATTTATATTCAGCTAAAAAAGAGAAGTTGTTATTTACAATGCTGTTTGTGTTAGTATATTATCTCCCTTACTGTTCTTTTGGGCTAGAACAACATCAACCAATTAATAAGTAGGCATTTTTATGCCTGGCTGCTGTAGCCCAATTATTAATTTCAGTATATATATAATTTCAGTCCTTTTTTCTTTCAGTCCTTTCTACTCTAAGAAAAATCAGCAAACCTAACTAGAGAGGAGAAACATTTATCAGAGTATCATGAGGGTCAACTGGTCCTAGAATGGATTAGGTAAATTGCAGTTGTGGAGGTTTGTGGTAGACTTTTAAAGTGAAATTAATGCAAGATACTGTGTTCTGAAATTTCCAGCATCAGTCTGTTTTTCTGGAGCCCACAGTTAACCAGATGAGGAAAGGAAGGATCACATATTGGCTGGCAATAAAAGGAAATCCAGCTCCTCTCCTTTGTTACTTTAGGAGTTACTTAATTTCATGTGTGTCTGCAGGAGAAATAAAAAACCTGAAAAATAACAGTGAAAGGGATGAAACTATTAAAGAAGCAGTTCAAACAGTTGAAAAATAAAATCTGGGAATTGCTTCATTCAGTTGGCCTCCCTTGACATTTTATTTTCCAATGGTGACAACTAGTGTTTCTTAGGTGGAGATGGACTCTAGACTTTGCATTTTGGTTGTTTTCATTTACAAGTCAGCACAGAGCCTCAGGTGGTTGGATTTGACTCCTCCTTTCTACCAGATTTTTTTTTTTTCTGTAGTAGCCAAAGTGTGGTTAAGGAAAACCCTGTGTATATTGTGTTTACAGGTGTTTTTAAACTTTTGACAAGGTATCTCAAGTTTTGTTCCATCTATCATCATTTGGTGATAGAGCTGAGAGTGAGGGATTACAGAATGTTTTATGTATCAGGTGCATTGTTGGGATTAAAGGAATGGTCTCTATATGCAGGGTGTCAGTTTTTTCCTCATTTACTCCTATTTAGTTGGAAGCATAAAATCCACACATAAACTTAGTAAATTCTACGTCTCTTTTTTGTGCACAGTGTAATGGAGCTCTTAGCCCAAGTCCTGTTGGGAAAGAAGCAATAAAGCAGTGCTATGAAATTAGGATTGTGTAGGGATTGGGTAAGGCACTGTTGGCACAGCTCTGTAGCTTGGGGTGTTTTGACTCAAAAGGACTGAAAACCTGAGGCAAGCATTTCCTGAAGGCAAGCAATATGCTTTTATGCTTTAAGTAGCAGTGCTAATGGTAGATCACAGCTAAGGTAACTCTCTTGATGTTTTACTCTTCAGGTACTGTCTGAAAACATCTCCTCTGTGGCCTGTGCTAATGTAGTTTTTTTCAGTTTCTCTGGATGATTACATGTGGCCTTATCTATTTGAGTATCTCGTGTGACAATGAAATGCACGAGTCGATCTGCACTCAGCAAAAGTGACAGTGCTGTAATGGCTGCATTATTCTGACACTGAGAGAGCAGCAATTCCATGCCAAACAAATTCAGATTAAGGATGTTTCAGCTGGAGATGGAATCCATGTCTGACATAGCTAGCACAAAGGTCAGAGAAGGGATGAATATAGCAGAGTTTCAGATTACTTTTTCTGTCTTGCTCACCTTGTTATTGTTTAAATGACAGCAGGAAAGAGACATGGTTTTAGTGTTGTTTTTCCACAATTCTCTCCTCACCCAATTTCATTTGGGGGGATTATTTTAACTGATTTTATTTAGGTGCTTTCGAGCTGAATATTCATCTCTGTAAGCAGAGCTTTTCTTTTTATAGAACAATGTGTTTCAGCTGTAGCCATTCCCCCGATTACCACAAGGGTTTCATTGATATTATTGCAATGATCTCATTAATTTCTATGCACTTTAGCTTTGTCTCCTTGTTTCCAGTGTTCAGGTAGGTGTGGTGATGTGTAAGTCTCTGCAGGAATGTTCAGAATCCTCACAGAGCTACAGCATGGATGAAAAGTCATTGAAGTCTTTCAAATCTGTGGTTTACATTTTTCATTGAACTGATAAATTAGTGAGAAATTCAGTGGCAAATAACTGAAAATGCCATAGGGTAGATATGTTTCCTTTTTGTATAAAGAAATTACTCTACTTGGCAGAGTACTGATGATAGGAAAAAAATATGGCAATAGAGGAGCTAAGATTATTTGCTTTAATACAGATATTCCTATTTCTGTTGTGTGTATCATTCGGAGGTGATTTGTGAAATATAAGCTGTGTTACCAGACATTGTAAGACCCACTTTTGCTCTGAGATGTGCACATCTGTTTTCTGCATTACTATCCCAAACTGTGATCTACTAGAACTATATAAAAATTTGATTTTTCCAGGGTGTGGGGAGGAGAGAGAGTGAAAATTTACTGTGGTATAGTTGCATAAAGTTGGGTGGCTTTTAATTGCACTGTGTTTGTACAGATTTGGGAATAGATTCCTCTCCCAAGGACTTATGAGTAGTGGGTAAAAGCAAGAGGGACAAAACCAATTAGTAAATGTATACCTGGAGTAAGTTCACCATATTTAGCAATTGAAAGATGAACCTTTCCTGCTCTTTTCTGTCAGTGAATAAGAGTCATTAAATGGGCAAGAGATCTGAGAAGAGAGCTGAGAAGGAACTGGGCATGAGCAGCACAAAACTAGAATGGAAGGTGAATTGCTCAACTTGGTTCTGTTGCTTTGTCACTGAGAAATTAACTCCACGTCTTAGGCATAGCACTTTGCTTTCAGAGATACCCTGACTACATGTAATGGAAAAGCAAAACATTACATGAAAGGAGTGCTGAAAGCCTGACTTAGATGAATTGTTTGCTGGAATGTAATTTGGTTTCTTGAGCTTCTTATGCTGTTAGTTATAGCTGAGGAGTTTCTCTGGAGAGTGACATAATTCCATTTGGTGGTTGGATTTCAGAGTTAGATGTTGTTTTGTTCATCACTTTGTAATGTGCTGAATAAATTAGCTTCCCAGATACTTAAATGAACTAAGTCTACCAGTCTGAGTTAGTTATAATGAGATAACATAGAAAGAAAACACATAGTGGTGGGTAACCTCTACCTATCTTATCTTTTTGTCAGCATGCAAGAGGGTTTATCTTTTGCAGATTTGCAGCGTAACTACAAAGCAAGCTATTTATTAGTATCTTTTTCCCCCTGTGATCTATACCAAACCACTTCATTGAACAGATTTTATAAAATCTACTTTAGCTAGTCCTTGCTGTAAAGGTGGAGGGGAAGGTGCATGGGAACCTGAAGGAGCAGGATGGCATAACTGCCTATGTTATCAATTTCCAGGAAACCAGTACAGAGCTGCTGCACACGCAGATAAGTCACAGGTGTCTAAGTTTTTTTTTGTTGGAGTTCTAGAGCTCTAGAGAGTTACAGGCCTCCATACTAATACAGTTTTCCTGTCTTCAAGTAAGAGTTGGATGCTGTTAATATTTATCCTTATACACTGAAAATCAGTGTCTGAAGTCCAAGTGGATTTCAGTCACAGTACCTGTCAGTGACCACTCTTGAACTCCTGTGATCCATTGTTTACATCACAAAATGTGGTGAAGAGATGGGTGGAGGTACTTCCCAAAAAGGCAAGGATGTAGGAATGGATGTCTGGAGCAAAATCTGAGAAGCCAGCCTCCTTTATGGGAATATTGAAAGGTGTGGAATGACTTGCTGAGAGGTGGACTTGCTGAGGTAGACTCAGCTGAATAATCAGCCATGCTATTTGAGATATATATGATAAATTGTGGAGTTTGAGCGAGGAATTTGATTTGGAAAGCTAAGGTATAAGAAATGATTGAGAAGACTCACAGATAATGAGAAATAGAAAGCCTAAAAACATAAACATATAGCTTGACTCACCAAGAGGTCTATTAGATTCTTTTGGGTTTGGACACTGGACTAATAGTAATTCATCTGCCTTTCTCCACTCTTCCGGAAGAGATGCCAGCAAAGACAATAAATATCCTATCCTGAGCACCGAAAATAGAGATATGAACTGGCAAAAATTAAAGCTTTCCAGCTATATTTTGAGATTAGTTTTAAATGTTTTTGTTATATATTTAATTATAGAGAGAGAAACCTGTTCTCAATTAAAACAGTCCTTTGAACTCTTCTGTAGATGAAGTTTCATCAAATCAAAGCTTCTTCATATGTTAGAATTTAAAAATCAGTTAGCAATGGAATTGGGAAAAGTTGAGTTTAGGATCTCTGCCCTTTGCAGTAAATGTTTTCTGTGCTCATAAAAGCCACAGATGGACTAATTTAAGGTAGCTTTTTGCTATCTTACTGTTTTTTTAAGTGACTGAAACAAATTTAATGAATGGATGTCTCTTGTAAGTCAGAACATGCAGAAATGTGGTGGTTATAATTATTTTGAAATATCACCTAGGGATAAATCTAGCAAAGATGCTGAAGTTGCCTAGTTTCAATTCCAGGCATCTGTGGTGATTCCTTGTGTTCACCATTTATGCATATATGCATAGCACCTATTGTCCTGCTTACATTTAAAGCCATGTAAAGTTTTAGCCTAGTATATCTATTTTAGAGCAACTGTGTGTTCAAAGTGTTCTGTTTCAAGGTCTCTATTTTCACTGTGAAACAGCATCTTTTTGCTTTGGATGTACATTTGCTTTAGAAGGTATGTCAGGATAAGTAAACCTGACCTCATAATATTTGCTATAATTTAGATGCAAATGAGGACTTATCTGGCAGTCATGCCTTTGTTCTCATTCTCAGTTCATTGGATTTTATCAATATACATTGTAGTCCTTTTCAATGTCATTTTGGGAATTGGGGATTGTGTTCCATTTTCCAGCCATTTTCACTCTAGATGTGGAGGTCCAAAGCAATTCTTTTTGAGAAGGCTTGCTGTCAGTGGAAGCTGCAAGTTTTCTTCTCCCTCCTCCTGCCAGCTGTGAATTTGGTCCTTTGAGTTTTATTATTAAGTACTAAAAGCCAATGTCTTAATTGCAGAAGTAGTTAAAGGTACTGCTAATGAGATGTGCAATCACTAACATGCAGATTGTCAGTAATTCAAAGACACTTCAGTTGGCTGCCAGTGTAAAATTATGGGGATTTGTTTGCATTCAAGTAAGCAAGTGTTTCCTTTTTTAATTCATAAACAACATAATTCACTCAGTGCTTCAGGAAATGCGAGAGACCAAGGAATGAGTGTGAAGAAAGCAATGTTAGGATTGATCTTTTCAGGTTTGTTTATTGCGAATTGGCAGGATAATGCCTACATGTTTGTAGTTTTTTGTGAAGGATTATCTTGTATTGTCAGGTTGGTATTTTCACATCTGTTTCATTTACTTTGGATCAAAACTAAGGGGCCTGAGTAGAAGGCAGCTCACTGGTAAGCTTTCAGGAAATAAGACTGGAACAGAATTCTGGTTTTCTTCAAAACTGTGGTGGTAGAGTAAAAAATAAAAGGACTTTAACAGGTAAAATGGAAAATTATGATGGAAAATAAATATATTTTCATTAATCATTGCAAAAGAAGTTTTTAACTTTAGTGGTACTGTTGTCTCTTTTGGATTGATTAAGCAGGGCAAGCTGTTTGCTGTTCTTCTTGCGTCAAAGATGGTTTAGTATTCTTTCAGTGTCAAATGCAATAAACACTGTCAACAGTAATTATTTAGGATTCTGAACCTGTTCTCTGCTATCTATTTGTTGCTGATCCTTGAAAACAAATAAATTTATTATTCTCATACGTGCAGAGTTTGGTATACAGCCTTGTAGCAGGGCTTTTGTTTGCATATTCAGTATGCATGGCAGACATGAAAACAAGGGTGGCACATGCCTCACTGTTTCTTTCAGAAGGTGTCTTGATCAATTTAGATTTACTGTTTTTATGCAAGCATGTAAAAAACATTTCTAGGTGCTGACTTTTCAAAGATGGTAAGTTTTGTCTTACTGCCTTTGATGTGGACACTGGGCAGTTGTAGCGGGCTGACTGCTGGGTTTAAAAGGGGAAAAAAATGAATGTTTTATGAGATATTCAGAAATGGTCCTAGGGGTCACTTCACTGGACTGTACAGAACCTAGTAAAATTATATTGAGCTTGAATTATTTGTGGATTGTGATAATGAGGGATTAGAAAAAGGTATCTGAGCACTTCCTCACATTGAAATGACAAAACCTGGATGATGAGTGAAGCTGTATGCCATATTTTGGTGGTACCACCAAAGTCACTAGATAATTGATTACACTTGTAGATCAGCTTCTGTGAGTTCACTGTTTGGGTGCTTCAAATGTTGTCAAGTTCAAAATGGCAGTTGAAATGAAAAGAAAATACTGAGGTTAGATCACATCTCATTTTGAAGACACCTTGAATGAATTTTGAAATAAAGTTAGGTTGAAACTTGTTCTGTTTTAAGCTGGTTCAAAATGAGGGTGCTATAATAAGCTGTCTAATAAGCAGCCTTTCATCTTTATTTTAAGTCCATATCAGGGTTGCTTTCTTTTTGTCTATACCTGAGAATTAAATACTCCTCTTAAGGCTATTTTCTTACACTTGCTCTTGTTTTGATTTTAAACTGTGTTCCCTCAGTAGGAGACTGTGATGACTCTATTACTGTAAGCATCAAATGAAAATCATATTCCAGTCTTAAAATTATCCTCTCACAAAAAGCTTAATGAAACATTTTTTGTTCTAGGTTGGCTGTGATCGCAGCAAAAACCTGGTGGATATTTGTGGAGAAAAACATTTCCAGGCGTTTGTCTGTGATGCCCTGTCAGTGCCAATCCGCAGTGGTTCTTGTGACGCCTGCATCTCTATTGCTGTAATCCACCACTTCTCAACAGCAGTAAGTCACTCCTCTCTCTGCTCTACTCTACTGTTGGATCGCTGTGCAGAGCTGCTAATACTACCATACAAGAAAAGGCAAGAACAAAATGGGAAGAAATCCAAGGTTTGCATTTGGTGTAAGCAGTTGTCAGAGCAGAGTTAAGCTGTTGTGCTACTGCTGCTTCTTTGATTTTCTCCTTCTGCTTCTCAGATGCCCTTGTTCCCCCTGAAGCTTTGGTCCTATGTTTGGGCTTAATTTTCGTGTGCTTGTAATTAATGACACTGGAGAAGGGGGCTCTGCTTTGGGAGTCAAGAGATCTATTGTTTCCTAGCTCAGATCTTGGGTTCTTGGGCAGATCCTGTGATTTTGAGGGTTTTTTTTTATCTGTGCATTGGTTGTCCATCTCCAAACGAAAGGGAGACTACTCACCAGTCTGCTGTATCTCTGGGCTGGGTGAGGTTCTCCTGGCAGAAACTGTGCCATGGCAACATGTTTCTAGACCATCTTAGAGGGGCCCCACAGATCTTTCCATATCGTAAATACAGTGAATGTTTCCAAATCCAGTAAAAAAAAAAGTAGGAGGAACTCTGTTTTGGAGAAGGCTGACATATCTTTGTTTGTGTGGTCGGAGGACTTGTGTTTAAGCTGTAAGTCTGAGCCCTTCAGCTGCAAACTTAACCTGTGCATCATCAGGTGTGGTAGATTTGAATCTGGGATTTTAAATACTAAATCACATTCTTGAAAAGGTGTCTGTCTTTTCCAGATGGGCAAAAATGTCCAAAAAATCCTGCTCAGCACAGAACTATTTTCAAATGGAAAGAGAATAGTAGAATCATTGAGGCTGGAAAAGAACTTTAAGATCATCAAGTCCCACTGTTAACCCAGCACCGCCAAGTTCACCACTAAACCATGTCCCTGAGTGCCCCATCTGCAGGTCCTTTAAATCCACTCCTGCCCTGGACAGCCTATTCCATTGCTTGACGTGAATAATGTCTTGATGAAGAAATTGTGTTTAGGAAAATGTCTTGGCTTGCACACAGTGATGGGCTATATTATGAATGTAAATAAATAGCAGGGAGAAAAGACCTTTTCAAATTTTATTGTATCTTGGGTAAGGAGAAATTGCTGCCATTCCATTCTCCTGATTTCCTGTTTATGTACTAGCTTCACACTTCTGCTTTTCCTTTGCAGGAGCGGAGACTGGCTACTATCCGGGAACTAGCTCGGCTTCTAAGACCTGGTGGAACAGCACTCATTTATGTCTGGGCAATGGAACAAGAATACAAGAGCCAGAAGTCTAAATACCTTAAAGAAAAGAGTGGTAGTAAAAACAAAGACAAGGAAATGAATACTGGCACAGTTCAGAGACCACTTAATGACCAAGGGCCTGATAACAGCAGCCAAGATTCAGCATGGTCTCACCAACTCCTTAATGACTTCAAGGATGAAAGCTGTGGTGCCAAGCCAGTAGCAGATTTCAGATTGCCTGTTCACACTAACAGAACCTCTTTTCACTCTCAAGATTTGCTGGTTCCCTGGCACCTAAAAGGTGGTACGAAAAAGAAAGAGGAAAGTGCTGATACAGTGGTGGTTCCAAGTGGCTCCAAAGAATTGCAAGGACTCAGCCCTGTTTTCCACCGCTATTACCATGTGTTCTGTGAAGGGGAACTGGAAGCAGTGTGCAGATCCCTGGATTGTGTGAGGGTTCAAAAGAGTTACTATGATCAAGGAAACTGGTGCGTGATTCTAGAAAAGTTGTAGCCTGTGATGCTTCCTCTACTATCTGTAGAGTTTTCTTTGTTTTTTACAGTGAAAGGTATTTTGTGAAAGGCATTTTTAATGCAGGCTGCAGCTAATGCCTCTTTTAAAATAGCAGAATAAAGATTGTGCATTGAGTTAATAACAGTGGTAGCACTGTGTGCATATGTTAACAAAATAATGGCCAAGCTCAGCCACTACCTCTGCAGAGTGTTTGCTTTACTTCTCTGAATTACGGTGAAGAGGATTAAGTGGGAAAATACTACCCATGCAAATCACTAAGACCGGTGTTGAGCTATTAAAGACAAAGGGCCTAGTTCTCGCTTCTCTTACACCATTTTATATTGATATAGCTGCAGTGCTTTCCCTGCAGTCCCCAGCTAATTGGAATGGAGCTCTGGGCAGGAAAGGCAGAGCTGTTTGCTGTGTGGATGAGGAAGGAGGGAGTGAATGGCATATGAGGCAGTTAAGATGAAGAGTCGAACTGTTGCCCAAGTTTGGTCTTGCCTGTGTTGTTGTCTATGAGGGGTGACAGATCTCTTTCAGTTTGGAATTTATTCTCTTGGTTGTGGTAATAATTATTTCCTCAAAGGGAACTGGAAAGATACTGGGGATAGCACAGACATTTTTCTCTTCCTTGACTCTCAAATACCCACAATTCATGCTGTCCATCCCCAGATTTCTGTAGCTCTTCATTGTAGTGTTGTGAGGTGTGAGTTCCAGCCCAGCTGGAACAGCCAGACCGGCTCTGCTACACACCTGCCTCTGTACCTGTAGCACCAGGACTTTTGGGGGTGGGGTGACCCTGAGTTCCTCCAGGGGGAAAAGGGAAAAATATTAAAGTGAAGGCAATATTTGGTGCAGGTTTTCTGGTGGGTGTTTTCAACCTCTAAATGTTGGCAGTGGAGCAAGTTTTATTTAATACACTTCAGGAGAACAAAGGACTGGAGTAGAGGGGAACTGATGCTGGGCCTGCTGACTCAGAGCAGCTCTTTTAGCTGTGGCCTGCAAGGACTAGTGCAATTTCTTTGATACAACTCTTGTGCTACCAAAGGAATGTGACACCTGGAATGCATTTCTGAGACTAAAGCAATGGGCTGACTTTTGCAGGGTGAATGGCTGTTGGTGCCTCTGGAAACCAGTGCTGCTAAGCTATGCTGTTATATTGATTGATTGCCTGTAGTTGTAGCAAGCTCTATGGTATTGGCAGGTCGTGCTGCTGTAAATAATGGCATACAAACCAAGGTGCCCATCCTAAATCATGTGGGGACTTGGACAGCTCGAGGACAGCTTGGCCTACTCCTGCCCACCTCCCAGGGCAGGTTAAAGGCTCCTGTGCTGGCAACCCTCTCACAGTCACCCATTTCTCTTAGGCTCCCATCTTGTAATGGAGAAAATCTGAGGGGAACGAGAGCAGTAAGAGAGGAGCTTGGTGCCACCACAATTCACCTGGCCCGTGCTTTGCTGTCTGCTTCCAAAGAGCCCTTGGGAAAGAGCTGCACATGCTGTCCATGTAGCAGCAGCCTTGTCCTAACAGATTTCTTTCCTTTGAATGGCAAAGGAAGCATGCCTAGCAATGAGCCCTTGTGGGCACGTTCAGGGGCTGATTTGCACACATTCAATGAATATCACATAGCTGGAAACATGTCTTGCATCAAGGCCTGAACTGGCTTCAGTTCTGGGACGCAGAATTTGGGTGCAGGAGCTCACCCCTTTCCCAGCTGGAGTGTGGCACCAGAGCTAACCTGAACAGCTCCAGGGTGCAGTGCTACACGATGTTGGTGTGTCACTGGTGTGAAAGGGCAGGGAGAGCCTCTGCTGCGTGTTTGTGCGGTGACTAACTCACTAAACTGGGCTGCCTATTATTTCTGATTATGTGGATTGCATTAATGTAAAGTAGGAGGACTCATCTCTGAAGCTCTTAGCTTGCATGACCCTGTTTGCTGGTGCCTGGACTCCTGCTGAGCACACAGCAGCTGCTACTAGGTTTGTACCTTGCCTGTAGCTGCATTTTCTTTAAGAATATACAGTGTTCTTGCAAGGAACAATTACTGCTTGAAAGTCCTTCTGAAGTGCTGCCATATCATGACCTTGTGTGACAAATTAGGAATCAGGTCTGCAGTTGTGCTCGATTACTTGATGTACCCTTCTTCTGACTCAGAGGTGCTGCTTCCAAATTCACTGCTGGCTCTGACTGTACACAAAGTTAATCACTGTTCTAACCTGGGGCTCAAATGTATCAAGTAGACAAAGCCTGAATGTGAATTTTATGTAACACTGATCTATTTTTTGCAGGCCCTGTGGCTCCTGAAGAGCTTTCCTGCTTTCCCTCTTGTTTCCCTGGCAGAGGCAACATTAGGCAGTGTCTGGTGTCACACTTAGCATTTCTTGCCTTCTGGGATGATTTACACCATTTATTGACTGCCATATGTATGAATAGGTCACACTCCCTCTCACCAGCTCTGCAGTGAAGCACCTGGGATATCTGAGAGGAGAGTCAGATTTTACTGTCAGTCTTTTGGTTGCCATCGGTCTACCTGCAAGGTATTCCTTTCAGCTGAGTCACAGCAGCTTTTTCCATCCGTTTCCTGCTGGCTCAGAGCAGAAAGTGTCACTCACCACCATTGGGCTGCCTAGGACAGGGAGAATTCCAGTGGGTCCTGCTTTTGGAAGGAGGCTCTGGCATGGGGAACACCAGCCTGGCCAACATTGCTTGAACAGGCACACTGGGTTGAACATAATTCCTTACCAAAGAGGCTTTTCCTGGCCTTTCTGAGGGCTGTGAGCCAGAGGACGATCCCAGCGGCACACTATTTCTTCAAAGACAGTAGAAAAGTTAAAAGTACTCTGAAATCCTCTGAGCCCTGGGAATGTTATGAAATATTTATTTAGTTAAAGCCAGAGAGTCTCTTCAGATGCTCCAAGAGGAATGAGGTGGTGAAGGAAAAAATGACAAGGGAGGAGAGCAGGTAGATGTTAACAAAATGTATTGCAGAAATTTGCAACACAGAATTACATGCAACCACAGCTCCCCTTTGCAGTACTCACTTGCCCCTTTTTTTTTACTTCCTGGAAGTGGTAATGAGATTAAACTCTTTAAGGTCAGCGGTTGAATTTAAGTGTTAGAGATTTTGTGTCCTGTCCTGACAAAACAAGGGCTTCAGAGCATCCCTGGGCTTAAAGCAAAGGACATGATGAGGTAATTTCTTGTTCTGGGGCAGGCAAAAAATGAAACCTGCAAAACATGGAGGACTTTTTTAAACTTCATAGAGGTCTTTAAGACCGATATCATGATGCAGCCAACCCTGTGACAAAAACTCCTCCAGACCTCAGAGAGGTTGGATTTCGCTGGAAGTGTTCAACTTAATTTTAGCAGAGAGAGGTGTAGGATAGCAGATAGCAAGAGACAACATGCTGATTGGACTGCTTTGCTGAATGAGAGCCACAAAAAGCTGAATGGGGAACACAGCTTCTCATAAGAGATCTTGAAGGACTGGCCCCGGCACCATGAGCTCTTGCACTCTCAAAGATGAACGTTTGTACTCTCTAGTGCCCACCAAAGACACTTCCTCATTTGGACAGGGAAGAGAAAATTTAATAAATGTGAATTGGGATATCATCAGGGAGAGATCACTCGGTCATCACCAGAGCAGAAAAAGAAGTAAAACTAAATCTTAAAAGCACCTTTCCTCACCCTTCCCTTTTTCCCAGTCTCAGTTTTATTTCTCATCCTCTAACTCCTCCTCACAGTGACACAGAGGGATGGGGAATAGGGATTATGGTCACTTCATCACGTTTCTGCAGCTGCTTCCTATTCTCATACCAGGATTAGGTATCTTCTTCCTATTACAGAAGCATTATGAATATGAAATTTCTAATCATGTAAGTACAAATACAAATGTCAGACATTCTGTCTATAAAGTGAACGTCAATGAGCATGTCTGGGGAACTGTGTGCCAGAAATAAATGTCATTCAGCTGTCACTGCATGCAGCACATGTTCTGAGTTTTGCAAACTATTCCCCTAACAGTACTAGGTGGATGGAGAGCCTTTCCAAGCACTTAAATTATGAGAAATTTAGAGTGATAACATTTTCAATACATTAAAAAAAAAAAAAATTCATGTTTACAAGAATCTAAAAAACCTTTTAGTTTGAGAATTGCAGTTGTTACACCTGTAAATATCACAGAAACACTTTCCACTTGCCAAGTGAAAATTATAAAGAAATGATAAATGAAAATACTAGAGAAGATAAATAGCTACAGTCTCCAGTGTGCTTTGTTTTGTGTATTCTTCTTGCTGCTAAAATTAAGGATTTCTTGTCATTATCACTTTCTGTGTGTCACTATGGTTTTCTATAATTTATTGTGGAGAAAAAAGGGAGAGACATTTCATTCATTATTACAAATCTCTTTTAGGTGTGCTAATCTGCTTTATATGAAGTGATTATACTGACAACATCAGCATTTGGACCCGAATTTATTATGTAGATAACTTGTTCTGCCTTTACTAGGATATGTCCATTTGGGGCAGAATTAGAATTGCATTGCTTTGTCTAAACTTTGTGAAGGACCGTGCCTAACATCTCAAGTGGCTGTGAATGAAACGCTTTCCTTCTCTCACCTGCCTCCTTAACAGATGCTGTGGAGATGCTGTTGAATGCAGACAGTTTGTTCCTGTGCCTGATGGTGCTCTCATCCACAAATTTCTTGGCCAAGTCACCTCAGTGAACTGTAAAAGACATCTGTGTTGAAGTCTACAACTCAGGCCAACAGCAAAGATTGTTTTTATCTAGCTGACATAATTTTGTACAGTATTCCTGTCACATTTTTGCACTTGGAGCAAGCCACCACTGGTGTGCAAATACGGTATAATTCTCAAATTTTGCCAATATTGTAAGCTATTTTAAAGGTATCCTTGTTTAAATTGGATCAGGGACACAGAGAGAGTACTCTGACATTAAACTCTTCTCTACCCCTTAAACAGGCTATGCCTATGCTTTACAATTGCTAAAGAGCAACCCCAATAACAGCAGTACTTTTTTCTTTGATTTTATGAAAGGGGTAGCGGAAATTTCCAATTCATGAGCAAATAAGGTGGAGAGATATGTCAGTGCAATATGAGTAATTAATTTTCTCCCTG